TGGATTGGAAATGCTTCATACTTTTTACGTGTGCTTAGTGAAGAATAAGTCTCCGAATGCTGCCATAAATATGAACGACTGAAATTATGAATTTATTTGTTTACCTATGGACTGCATTAATGAGAACATAATAACTTGTTTCTTAAAGGTGTATCTCAGTCGGTGGTAACCATCGAGAACGAATCTCGAATATACTTTGTTCGTTACTTAAAGATGCAGTTATGTTGAATGCAGCAATCCAACAAATGGTGCTGAAATGTGTGCTCGATGATGAAATCACCACTGTGAAATTAGTTGATCAAAATACTCCATCGTTCTTCTTCACGTCTCTTAAAGGTGAGTCGGTCACACTCGTTCGTTCGAGGATCATCACGTTTTCGTTTATTCAACATTTCTTTCCTGAAAAGTAAAAGGAACTTTGTTGATTAGGAATTTTGAAACTTGCGCAATACTTGTGTACAATAAATTAACTGCAAATTCAGGACGAAAGGTTCATCCGTTGTTCGGGTGTACCCGTCATGAACGTGTCACTACAGTCTCTTTATATTCATCATTCCGAGATATATTACCGCCTTGTGTATTATCTGCTAATATTGGACGTCGAAATGCGTCGAAGGTAAAATTTATATTTGCTCCGTTATCAATGGAAATATTCAAGTGTTTAATTGACGGCTGATCTTATCTTACTTCTTGGTATTTATATCAGCAATTGTCGTCTCTTATTCATCTCATATTTCGAAAACGAACAACGACCGAACTTGGGAAGTTGTTCGAATTCAAGAAACATTTCATTTTGCGCTCAAAGAACAGACGCATTCTCAAGAGGGACCGATTATCTTTTCTGTAATTACAGGATAATTGCCATGAAGTGGCGGATCTGGATCATCTTTCGAACGCTATCGATTACAATTTACAACAAGCAAGAAGTAGGTTGCTCTGTCGAATGACGATTAAACCGTTTGAATGATGCAGTTGAATTTAATGTTTGAATTGATTGAAGGCAACGAAACAGCAGCAACACAAGTGAAAGAAGCATTAACAGCTTCAGCATCAGATTCCAAGAAGTTGGTCGTGACCTGTTTGATGTGTGATGCTTACAGTACGAGACGGCCGATTTGTGGTGATTGGTTTGTGGGTCAATTCATAGACGCACTTCACTCTGCACAGCACTTCAATTCCAGCAGGTATTTTCCTGTTTACTTCACCTTGTAACTTCTTTATCTGAACGGTTTTGCTTCGTTCGTTTATTTGTAGTTTATTTAAGCTTTTAAGTATTTTTGTCAGTTTAGAATCATTTCATCATATTTCAGTGCATCAATTTCTGGTAGTGCGCTCGTTGAACGTGATGCCAGTGAAACAGTAACCAATACTACAACTGGTTATAGCCACTCAACTGCTACAAATTTCACCGACGGTTATTTCACGCTATTGTTGAAGGTTAACACCTCTACAGTCGAAGGTATTCATCCTTATTATATCACTCACTTCCCACTAAGTTTCATTTTTTTTTAAATCTATATAGCATGGAATTCGTAAAAAATGTCCATGTGGTAACGCGTTTGTCGTAATCCTTTCAAAATTTTTTCGGCTGCGCGAGTTTCAAAAAAAAATTGTTTAATTTTAATGGTGGCTATATTCCGGTTTATTTTCTGCAATGCGAAAATAAAGGTGATCTTTGAACAGTTTTGCTTCATTATCGAACCGAATTGTCATTGAGTTTTGTAGAGTTGAAACGCGCAGTTGAAGACGAATTGGCACCGTTCAATGTCTCATCGATTTCTACATCGCAGCATATTTCAACACTGCAGCATTTCGCGCGAGCTGGCGGTTTAGCGATTCTAGCACAACACCTTCAGCTCTATCAACCATCAACTGCTATCAGTGCATGCACTGTCAGTCCGTAAGTGTTATCATCTTTTCTTGTTTATTAGTTCAACATTTGTCCAAAATATGGCATCAGTCCACGGTTTCTGCCCGAGGCAATTATCGATCAGATTATGAATGCTTGTCTTTTTTCAGTGCAACAGCATATTTGCCAAAGAAGCCATCTTCTGGAGGTGGAGCGCCATCGTCTCTTCAAAACTACGTGCTGCAACCGTTAATGTCAGAACCGAATGGCGGTTATATTCCGGTTTATTTCCCTGTTTTGGAAACTGCTGATGATGAAGGCGCAGCAGTAGCTGCATCGTCATTAACTGGCTTTAGTTCCAATGCTGTGCCAGCATCAGCATTTGGTGATGATCCATCGAATTTGGCGTATGATCATGACTTTGAATTCATCGATATGCCACATTGGAATGCCAATTACTCGTTCGTTCAAAAACTTTATTCTCCAGCTCCGAATCCACCTCCTCCATATGCCACTGTGATGCCTAATGTACAGGTAACGATGACGTTTAATTCATCTGATATTTATTAAATTCTTTTTTGAAAACGAATTTTATTTTGTTTTAAAAATCGTTTGTTTCTTTAATATTATGATGGATCAATGATTTCTTCATCTAAATAATCAGCACCCTCAAAACAATCATTACTGTAACGTATCAATCATTTCTCACATCTAAAGAACTGAGTGGATGAATTGTCATTGTTGCAGTGTATATGTTAATCGATTAGTAATTCTTGAAATGATATATGTAACTGCTGTGTCAACGAGTTTTCAATAAGTAAATTCAGAAGGGGTCGACGGGTCGTGTTGCTGCATCATCGTCAAGTTATTCACTTACAACGGCTCTGTCACCACACGTTGTGATCGCATTCAGTGTTTTATTGCGTCTGGATGGCTATGCTGAGTTGTTGGTCACCTATGATCGTGTTCGATCCAAACGATTGCTTCGTCTAGCAATGGGTGTCTCAGCTTCTGAACAGAGTTGTTTCTTATATATTTTCATCATTGTTCCCTCAGTTAAGACGGTTGACTTTTGTGATATCGTTCAGTTATTTTTTAGTGTTAAAAATGCGTTTAATTTTATTCATTTTTGTTATCGACCTTGTATGTTTGTTTATTGTAGGCACGTTACCAAGGTGTAAAACTGCTACACAACACACCAAGAAAAATGTTCCTGAGGAGGTGAGCAATGATAACGATATGTTAGCATTGTTACCCTTCATCGTACTGGAGCGCCTATATAGAATGCAACATCCTGATACACCAGCAGGACGGTAATAATATTGCATTTGTATTTTGTTTCATTTATGCAGAAATTTATGTTAGATTTTTATGCTCACATTGTTAACCTTTGAGTATTTCCTCATCTGTTCCCATTCACGTTACATTCGTTTCATTTAAAAAGATTTTTGAGCAACAAGCTGGTTTGATTAATGGAATTTTTGGTTATCCTGATAAACGGTTGATTATCAATGGATATGGACTTTGTTTCACTTGGTGGTATTTTCTTTTGTTCATTCAGTGAGCTGAAATATTGCAGAATACTCCGGAAAGCGTCCGTATGTCTGGGCGTATTGGATATTCTACTTGTGTGTCTCGCTCATTACAGTCATCAGAAGCATAAGATTGAGCCAATACGACCTGAGTCGCTGTTGCCTGCCCCAGAAAGTGTTAGTTATTAGTTTCGTTCAGGAATTATCAACTTTCCATGATCGACAGTTGTTTCCAGCTGGATGTATTTGAGAAAGAGGGTAGATTACATTTCAAGGAGGAGTTAACTCTCACAGTAAATGATATTTTTTCACTCATTAAAGTTTGTAACGTAAAACGCATTTATGTCAAAAAAAGGAATAGCAGGTCGATTATTGGCTGTATCAATTGAAAATGTTATTGTCATGAAATGGTAGCATAAATTGAAGATGGCTTCGAATGAACCATAAATAAATTTGATTCAAGGTACGACTCACGGAACATTTGTTGCGTGCATCAGCTCAAATTGAAGCGTTACGTGCAGAAGCGACAAGTAACGCGAACGGAAGTGGCTACGATGAGCGAATGTCGTCAATGAATTATACACCTGCGAGTGCCGGTGGCATGATTGCATCGAACGCACCTAATGCTCAGCAACAAAACTTTTGGGCAAAAGGAACTGGATTCGGAAGTGGTACCACACAACAGCAATGGAATGTTGATGCGCATGTGATGAAAAGAAAATTAGACGAACAAACTGTTACGCATCTATTACGAGTTAGTTGGTTGTTGTTAATTTACATCTCTTACTACTCATCATATCCCACAGTAGAGGAATCGTAAATATCACTAAAAAATTTTCGTTTAACGCAAAGAATTTCTATTTCCGATTGACATGCCATACAAGAGTATTAATTCATTGTTAATTACGAGTACCTTGAATGAAATCATCTTCCAGTCGTTTGAATAAGCATGACAAGAAGTGTTGCAATGAGCGACTTTCTCAAAGTGATCACTATAAGTGCATTTCGTTTAAAGGTTTTAGCGAATGTTGTCCCATTCCGTTAGTTGTAGTTGAAAGTTTCGAAACTTTGAAAGTTAGCTGATTATTTTCGAGTGGTTTTTAATAAGCGTTTTCAGTCGAATAATCTTTGATTGATGATGAGTTTAGGTTCTTGCAAGTTACATATTCCCTAGTCCAACATGGAGACGTAAACGATGTTCACGATCACGCCGCAGTACAACCAATACTTCAGAGTCATCATCTATTATGGATAGTACATCTCAGAGTTGGGGCAACTTACCACCTGGGCTAGGTTGTTGTTGCTTATCGTTTTCATTCATCTTTTCTATTCAGTTTCATCTGGAAAAAGCTTCATCGAAAATTCGAATAGACATCTCCTAACAGTCGGCTCTCCACCAAAATTTCAATCGCTTATTTCAGCCTATTGAAAAGATGCACTAATGAAAGCATTATTGAGATGTGTAAAAATTTTGCAGTACGTTCATCATCTCATTCTGTTTCACTTCCGTCACCAACATCTGAAATGGTTGGTGATGAATGGGTGCTGGATTCATCAGTTGTTGATTTACTCGCGCGTTCTTGTCTTTTGCCAACTATCTGTGCATATCTCAGGAATGATTCGGGTTCGTTTAGCGATCGTTCATTATGTGTCTAATGTTTTTTATTGTTTTCAATGTGCAGTTCGTCTCGATTTGTTTAGTTTTGTTCCTGTTAATGAGTGCTTTCTTTCAATTTATGTGAAATATTTTAGTGTTGGATATATCAAGACATGTCGAGGTATATGAAGCAGTGGTTCATTTGGTTGCTGCGATGGCACGTTGTCCTGCGAAACAAAACGATCAAGGACAAGATATGCTCGCTGAGCTTCTTTCACAGTGTGACTCTGGTGTATCGCTGCTTACAATGCTCAAAAAACTTCACGGTTATATTCTCGCTTATCTCTCCAAGCTCTACACTGAAAATACATCGCAGCAGTAAGTGGCGCATCATTTTTTCTCTTTTTGTATCGTTGCACTTTCACTCCAATTGTTTTGCATATCGAATGATTTTTTCACCGCTTCATGCGAATTTCAAAAATATCCTATATTTTCACCACTCATCAACGTGATATTTGTTGTAAACCATGTTGTATTACCACACTGTTTGTGCATTAATTTAATTGAAAACTTTGTTGATAAAATTGGAAGGAATAGAAAGAGGAAACCGAAATGAAACCAAAATCAGTAAGGAAATATGCAGTTGTTTTTACTAATTCAGAGTTGAAACAAGTGAGACTAAAGGAACTGAAGAAACGTCTGTCACGACAGCAGCCGATAATACATCGAACAAAGGTTCTGAAGAAGGACTGACTCGTCTTTCTCACATCATAATGCGTACATGCACATTCATATCGCGACGTTCGTTTATCATTTCTTCTCCTTATCTAGTGAACTGAACTCACACCACATCACCTATAATCTCATTTTCTTTTATATCTTCTTTTTTATCTTATTCTAAAATTCTGCTTGAATGTTCATATTACTAAGTGTACAGCAACTAGAAGTGAATCTTGGCTGTCCGTTCCACTCAGTACGCATATTTTTAATAGGAATTATTTGCAATCGGTTTTTTGAGTGACTCACTTCTCTGTTTTTTACACCTAATTGCTCATTAATAGTCGAATGAAACAATCACCGTCATTGTGTAAGGTTTTATTTTTAAAAAGCGTTATCTTATGGGGGTATGGATGACAGCAATTGAACTAAATTTTTAGGTGTTGGTAGCGATAACGCAGAAACAGAAGGTCAGACGAAGGTTGTATTGACACCTGATGAGAAATATATTGAAGTAATGCGTAATGTTCAGTTCCGTAAGTTGCTGTCTCTTTTAATGTTTTGTTTACCGTTCCATAGTGATTCTTTAGTTTGCGTATCGTTCCATAAAATATCCTTTCTATACCAACGCATCATGGGAACCATTCTAAACGAAATCCGTAAGCTGAATGAGAGCATTAAAACTTTTCTCCAGTTCAGTTTGAAATTAACGTTCAAATCAAAAAATTAGAGAGATTAAAGTATATAAAATATCAAAGCATATAAATGAGATTTGATTTTTCCAGAGAGTATACCTTTCTTTTTGGAAACTGCTCGAATACCGTACCATTATGAGAGTTCATTGAGTGCCGTTGGCTTATCATCGACGTTAGGTAAGCGTACACGACGACTGGCACAAGAAGTGGTCACTTTGAGTAATTCACTTCCTTTAACTGCGAGCAGTTCGGTGTTTGTTCGATGTGCTGAGGAGAGACTCGACGTTATGAAGGTTGCTTATCAGTCTCCTATTCCGTTTAGCATGTATTTTTGCCTTCGATCGACAACTTCTTTTAAATTAATTCATTTTTGTTAGCACTGCATTCGTCAATCTTTAACCATTATACGTTGCTCAAAATGAGCTGGTTGACTAAAACGAATGTATTTTGGATATGGATGAAAGTTTAGAAACATGAAAGAACTTAGTTTCTAATGCTTCTATCATGTTTATCGAAAAGTTATTTCATTAAACGTTATTATTACTTGCAATCATCTTCAGACTGCACAATCTTCAGACTTTCTAAATTGAAGTAATTAGGATCGCAATCTCATTAAATGAATTTCACTTATTTTTTATCAGTTGATTAATTTGAAGGTGTTGATAACTGGACCATCAGATACTCCGTATATGAATGGATGTTTCGAATTTGATGTTTGGTTTCCGGCCGACTATCCAAATTCTCCAATGCACGTCAACCTGGAAACAACTGGAAATCATACAGTATCGTTTGGAGTTGTTTCAATCATTTTTTTTAATTCTCTTGCCACTTAGAAAAATAGTTTACAACCATTTCGAAGTTGCTTATTTCGAATTTTTGATGAACTGATAACTTTGGTTGTTTCTCGCTGAAGGTGCGCTTCAATCCAAATCTCTATAATGATGGTAAAGTATGTCTCTCCGTACTGAACACATGGCATGGACGTCCCGAAGAACGCTGGAATCCAGGAACCAGCAGTTTCTTACAGGTGATTTTTGTATTCTCAAATTCCATATTTTTACAGATAAGCGAAGACGTTTCCGATTGAGTTGTGCTGTTTAATTTTTATACGGATTTGTATGTAACGTGTGAATATTTATAGGTAATTGTCAGTATGCAGTCTTTGATTCTTGTTTCTGAGCCATATTTCAATGAACCTGGATATGAGAGGTCAAGGTGTACTCAGGCAGGACAACAGGTAAACTTTCTCATTCACTCTGCCAACAGGTGTTGTCATCTTTTCTCCTGGTTTTCATTCACGTCAGATATATGTTCATGAAAATTGCTAATTCGAGGAATTTGTGCTTAGTGAGAATACGGATGTAACACACTCTGTTGAAGGTATAATAACTGTTGATTGAAATCATACTGTTGTTTAAGGCTTCTCGGGACTATGACGCAAACATCAGACAAGCAACAGTTAAATGGGCAATGTTGGAAATGATTCGTCATCCACCGCCAGCGTTTCGTGATGTTATTACGAGACATTTTTGGCTAAAACGTGATGAAATTATCGCGCAGGTTTGTTTCTAGTACCAGCAACTGACTACCTACTTTGTCTATGTGATTTCTCTGTGCCTTAACCAAAACCAGTAATTTATTAATCAGGAAGTCCGAATAAGTTGGTAGTTACAATTCGGTTTGAATTCATAAGCTAAAGTTGAGACCAAAAACTCCTAAAATTACTGTGAATTGATTGATCGACTCTTTTGAAGGAGCATGGCTGATATCATTCTCTTTTGTTATGTCGTAGAAATATTTGAAGTTAAAAGTTGAAATGTTCTATTGAATTCATGTCAACTTCCCATTCTGTGTGGTGCGTTTTACTTATATTTACTCTTCATAGCATATACGAAGTGGTTGTTTTGAAAGTTTTTCGCAAAAGTGTTTTAAATTGTTTTTAAGATCACGGAATGGATTCGAGAGATGACCGTTCAACTTGAGGAACAACGTGGTGTGGCGCGTACTCTTCAGGCTCATTTGTCATCTTTGAAGGTATTTTCGTTCCTGTTTACTTTACCTATCGAAATCATTGTTCATATTTCATCCGAATTAATGGCAAGCTCATATTTTTGCTCTCGTTTTTGTTAACGTGTGACTTAGGACAGAGAAAAGTTCTTCATTATTTTTCGAATTAAGTTGCGTATTCTGTTCGAAAGTTCTTTTCGTTTTCTTCAGTTAATGTAAGCTGCTTTAGAGTTCTTAATTTTGCAGTGACTTAGCAAACAGAGAAACTAAGAGCATGATTTTTTTAAAGTAAGAAACGGCTGTGATTCGATGAAAAACGAATCGAGTTTTTCTTTTCAGCGTCACTTTACGGCACTCCAAGACGAATTGGCTCGTATGGAACGACCGGCAGGTGTTGATGAAGATGTAGTATCAGTTGCTCAATCATCAAATGTGAATCCTTCTTCAAACGGAACGGGTGTTAATGACAATTCGGCAATGCGACAACAACTACCCTTAAAACCAACGCGACTTTCTGCGATGAAAGTATTGAAGCTGTGAATGAAGTTTGGCTGTCTTTCTCAGTGGTTCTCATACTCCCGCTCTCCCTGTCCCCCGTTGACCGTTTCTTTGCAACAACCCGCATGATCCACTCAGCTAGCAGTCTGCTACATCTTGATGACAAATTAGGAAGTCAAAAATTGGATCTGATGTTTAAGATATTTCCTGCCAAGAATTCGTTGGTGATTTCCCTTTTTTGTGATTAGTTGCCCATTTTAAAAACACTGTTGAACTTTTTGGAGAAAAAAACATTGTTTTCAAAACAAGGAGCAATGATTTGCAATTTTCTCATCTCCTTCCTTGACACTCTTAAATTCCTCCAGGGAGAATTTTCCCTCTTATGAAAACCATTGGTCTGTGTGATATAATAAAAAGTCGAATTTTTGCCATGAGTTGTTCATATAACGGTCTCCATTCTAGACGAGTATTGTTTTTTGTTTTGTTTTATCATATTCTATTTGCCTTCTCTTCATCGAAATTAATGTTAATTAAATATTTCAGTGGGTTGATTTTATGTAACTTTTGAGAACGTCTCCTTTATTGCACCCACGTTGTTTCATCAATTCGTCCATTTAATTGGCGAATTTGTGCAGCATTTGCTTTGAAGAATCACTATTGAAAATCAACCGTATTCCTTCATCCCACTTCCACTCTCATGCATTGTGTACATTTTCGTCGGTTTACTCGATAATTTGACGATATTATATACGGTTAATATACATCTGTATGGTTATGCTCGCAACTGTTCGTGTGCATTGTGGTTTCCTTTGTTGTTATTTTATCTCGATTCAGTTATGATGGTTAAGCTTATTTTATTGTTATTATTTTATTGTTATTATTATGTTTATTGGACCCGTAAAAGTTTTCCTGATGATTTTTGTGCCACTCAGAAAGATTAGAGGTGACTTGAAAACGGTGCTCCGTAGTGAGGAGATACCTTCAGAAGCACTATTATATTAAGGGTTCTCCGTTGATAACATGAACGACCTACGTCTATGTGAAAGACGTAGGTTGAAACGCCTGTGTGAAAAAATTATGACCGCTTATATTTGCCCATAAAACAGCTTTAAGCATTTGTGAACGTAACAGTGGTCTGAAGATGGTGCTTATTAAAGCCATATGGTGATGCATCCTTGCTCAACGATAGATTCTGCGTAGATGGTAATATAGGCGTAACTAACTGCGACGGGGGGGGGGGGGGGGNGAGTAGGAATGGTGGAAGAGAAAGGGAGAGGGCAAGGAGAAGAAAGTGGGAAAAAGAGCAGGAAAAAACAAGAAAAACGAGCGTAGCAAAATCTGTCCCAAAATTCAGCTGTTTTTTGAGATCAGCATTTTATGTCCTCTCTCGTGAAAAATTTTGACTCTGCTACTGAATGGTGGTAATATTGTTTCATATTCGTGACGGAATGAGTTATCCTATGAACAGATCATAAACGAATGTTGGACATCGTTTTGTTTTCGTTCGATTCCATGATGAACTAACGATAGCATTCGAGCAAAATTTTATGTCGGGCGGGATCCGGCTGCCATGAAATTTCATCATTCCGACCGAAGTTGTCGGATTTTTCTGGCTGATGGTCGGTCGGAACTGAACATATTTCGATGTTGAATAATGGGTATGACATATAAGTACAAACCAGAGCATTACTGCCGACTGTCGCATGATGTTGATAATACAACAAGTAAACGGGAAGGTGGAAATCATCATCGAGATATTGTGATTTCGTTTCATAACGAAGCGCTTTATTTGCACTACTACTCCAACCTCTTACAACTTAAGATTTAACATATTATTTTGTTCATAATCTGATATTCAACCGATCAGTTTCTGTGTAACATCGGATAGAACATTGCTGAGGTCGATTGAGCGATTCGAATGGAAGTGAATTAATGACAGCAGTTCTTCATCGCTCTTAGGAGCTTTCGTATCCAAGAAAGTCCACAAAGCGAGTGTTTGTAAATAATACGGATGTTGAAGACCGAAACAAACTTCGAAAATATTCATCGCCTCAAACGCATATGGTGCTGCCTGCAAAGAAAGGGCAGTGAATATCATCTCAGTACAGTTTCATCTTTTCAACTCACCACTGATTTAATGTTCAGTTAGCTTACCTCACTACGTTGACCTTTCTCAATATAAGCTTTCACAAGTTGTAGCAGTTGATAGCCGATATGACGATCCGCGTGAGGAAAACACCTGAAACTGATTGATGTGAATTGTCATTTCAAATAATTCTTTCTACGAATCAAATTGTAATATCGTTTAGTTTCACGCTGAAATTCAACTGAATCGCTATACAAGACTCGCAAAAGGCATGAATTTTAAAAAATTGATTCATCTATTTTTCTGCATAGTCAAAAGCTTCAAAGCAAACAAAAATAACGTAATTTTTTATCGTCAAATATTGTCTAGCATAAGAAGAGGAGAGAACACTTGCATTTTGTAGTTCTCGTAGACTTGTTTTTGAATGAAAGGCAAATTATTTTTCAGCGTTCCTGTTATATGCATGATTGCTGTTTGTAATCGTGTTACATAGATGTTCTTAGAATGAAGTATGCCCGAAGCTTTATCGAGCAGTTCTTGAAGCTGAAAGTACTACATTTGTTTCAGGTCCAAGAAATCAATTGGATTTCTCAATTTTGAAAATGTTTCCAATAATAATTCAATAATGAAAATGATAGCAGCAATAAGGAAGATTTTGTGCGCATGAAAAAACGCTATGCTAATGGCTAGCGCACTTATTTTATGTCAAGAATTAACCTCGTTTGGGTCGGAATCAGGAGCAAATTTAGGCGGAAGGTTGAGCATCATTTGTTGTGCTTCACGCACATGTTCTTCATCAGTAATTTGACCACATTTTGCACATTTGATTGCTGAAGGTTCAGCATCTTCAGTTGTTATTAATGGCTCATCACATGCCGCATTCGTGCAGCGTATTGATGTTAAAATGTTATCTGATGGATCAGTGCATCGTTCGCATTCACATTCAAAATACCTGAAAAGATCAACTTTTTTACACAAATAGTTAATTGTTCGCTTAGACGCCAATTTATTTCATGTCCTTTGATAACATTCCCCTTTCAATGACAATACCATTAAATTAATCTATATGATCGCAGTGGTTTTTCTTTGTTCACATGCTTTTGCAAAGAAAAAACTCGAACCTTTTCTGTGCAACAAATCTCATCCTGAAATTTTTTCATATTCTCGCAAAGTTTTCTATTCAATAATTACATTATTCAATGAGAAATTTTCCTCAGTTTAGCATGAATGGACGAAGATTGAACGCATACTGCAAAAATGATCAACTCAACCAACCATTTTGTTTTAAGTTCTTTTCGTCGTTGATAACGAGAACGACCAACATCAACATAACTAATGAACGATGTTCTTGGATTAGATGTGTCCACCACAGGTGTTAATGGTCTCAAACAAGCTTGATATCCATCGAATACCAACGAACAATTCGGTCTGCACGAATGGTCGTAAGCCGAAACACCTATAAATTTAATTGTGGCTTGTTAACTTCTTTCTGTAAGGACAAGCAGTCTCGCCTCTATTAATAAAGTAAATGAATGGAATCTCAAGAATTGCTTTTCTTGCGATTTCATGGGAAGAATATAACTGAATCGTTTGGTTTCTAACTGGGAAAGGGTTTCGTATTCGGGCTCTTCTTGAGGGTGATCGTCCTGGAGCTGTACAACTTCCTTAGTTGTAAGGTTCAACAAAAAATTGGTTCAAAAATTGAAATAAGACATCAGCAAGTGGAATTTTTCTTTTGAGTTACAATGATCAGTAAAAGATATATGTCGACAAAGTTAAATTGCTTTCGTTATGTCTTTGAGTTATAGTGAAGTTTAAACAAAAATGCTTCATCAGCCTCTAACTTACCAAGGTCAAGAGCCATACCAACTTCAGTACCTGCACTTGTGTGAATTGAATGCGAATTAATTGCTACTTTGCAGAAAATGGTAAAGAATTTATCCTTTTCCAGCATTTCTTCTTTTCGAAAAGTTGACGTTTTATTGAAGATCTTCTCGAAGTGCTCATATTTCGCATGAAAAAAAGATTTAGAGCCTTCGACCGAATGATGAATTTTCGAGAGGAGCATCAATGCAATGAATCATCGATTTATTCAAAACTGGAAAATGTATAGAGTTTAGAAACTTTTCAATTGTTTGTTTGGAAGGAAAAGCAAAATAAGGATCGATCGATACTTCATCATTTTTGACATCTTCTTCATGTCCCATCAAATCTACCCACTTTCGGTCGCGTTCCCAACCATATTTATCGCCGTTCGTTTCCAAAAACAGAACACGATCGACCACGCGACTTATGAAAAGTACTTCGGTAAGAGGTAAATTGGGAAAGACCGCTTTCAAACGACGACACTCATTTCGATGGTGTTTCCATGCACTCCTTTGACATTCCTTTAAATTGCTGTTTATTAATCATTCAAATCAAATGATATATTTAATCGACAAACTATTATTTGCGATGATGATTTATTATTATTTTGTTATAGTTATGTATTTGCAATCACCAATCCATGTACACATAGTTTTGTCTATGTTGCTCATAACACTCAATTCCTATGGATTTCAAGTTCTTCCAAAACATCCGTGTTCCATACCAACGCAAAAAAACGATTGAATATGAACAATGTAAATTAGAAATAATAAAAGACTGATACCTTGTTGCAGTAACGAGCAAATTCACAGTTGGCACATTTGAGCAGTTTTCTTGACTCGGGAATCCGAAGACAGTTCGAACAGAACTCATCCACTTTGTTGTTCATACAAATATGAGCAAATGGTGCGTCGAAAATTTTAGTGCGTTCAAAAACACTTGTTAATTTAAGCGCTTCACTTGGCATATTCGTTTAATCTATATTGTAACTCGTATAAAATCTGCATTCAAAACTGCTGGAATGCACTGCTAATGCAAACAGCAACAGGTCATATCCACTAGTACCTGAATGTTCTTCAATAATGATAACAGATGTGCGTTGTAATATTTTTCTTGAAGAGGCGAATTGTAATGCCAGTTGAGTTGTAGTGCTACATTGTTTAGCTAAATGCTGGTCTGCCAATAGCATATCTGCCAGATCCACAACCTCAGTATCTCTTCTTTGCTTTAGCTTTCTCTCATATCTAGTTCGGTTCCTCGGCATCCTCACATCCTCCCATCTATCTAGGTATCCGTGCAGTTTGATCTTCTTTTACATTTTGCACATCATTTTATCAAATTTCTAATTTCATTCTTTGAAAACTCAGTTCCATCACAACGATATTGTTTCTTCCAACTTATCATATCTAATCGTCAATTTTTATTCCATTTCATTAGAGCTAAAATCAGTTGATTCGGAATAAATTGTGCGACAACAGCATATGAAGATGACGAGATGTTATGGAAGGAATGATTGCGAATTCAAGTTGGATTCATTCATTAATATTAAGCAGTCTTATATCGTACTGGAAGAACTGCTTAAAGAGATGGTGAAGCTTATAAATGAGAAGTGCATTAAATTATTTTTTTTCTGTGAGGCTATGTCAATAAATCTTGACAAGTATAATTTATGGTTTAGTGAGAGCTCTTAAAACCAAATTATGGCACGGTTCATCAATTTTTCATACGTTTAGGCGGACGGAGAAGTCTTTTTTGCATAGTCAAAATCAAGAGGAAGATTAATTTCGCGTTAACGCTTCTATTGACTTTTCAATATTCATCAAAACTTTCAAATTTGATCATCATCAAGTTCAGTTGTTCATTACTCAAAATTCAGCAAAAAAGACTCCCAAATGAGCATTGATCTTTGATCATTCAAACTGCTTCCCAATAAGAGGTTTTTTTGATGTTGCAGTCAATGTTTGTTCTCAGAAACAAGTTCCATTGAGTGTGTCCTTCCTCTTTATATACTCCTAATTTAGTAGTCAGTGTGTATATATGAATAATGTTCCAAAACTGTAGACTGCAGTGACTCATTAAATATCTCTGCTGAATGATTTTTGCCGGCTAATTGTGAATACTTTGTAATATCATTTGTTTCTATTCTATCAATCATTCTTTACCGCATTGTTATCAGATCAACTTCTTCTTTATTTTAATATTTGTTGGTTGAGAAAATCGAATGTTAAAATACTAATTGCTGACCATCTAAACTTTTGGAAGTTTCATAAAAGTACACCAAATTGTGCAGTCTTCTTTTACTTTGGCTTTATTAACGGAGAGAAATTTCTATTGAAGATCTTTAATGAAATTATATGACATATGCATGATTACTGTCACGACAGCGTCATAAATTTGCTCAAGGTAAGAATAATGTAGAGATAACTAACCGAGAATGTGCTACATTCGATTGCAAATGTACGTAGACGTGATAAAACAAAACCATTTGTGGTCGTTCAGTCCCTAAGAATAACTCGAAATGCGTTTTGTGTGGAGTGTAGCAATACGAATGGCCAGTCAAATGACAATGGTCAGTTTGTTTTCAGTAATATTCTTTGTTCATTCAACGAACCAATTGTCGATTATCCATCAAAATGCGAGCATTCAAGAGCAAACTAGTCGAATACACCGCAGACGACGAGCATATATATAGAAAGAGAGTGAAACATGACTTGCGGCTTTGGTCAATTGTCTCTGAGCATGACAACCACCATCTGTTCTGTGCATTGACCACGTTACGGTACAAGCGATTATCCTCTTACGCAACTATCCCTTTTCTTTCCAACTTTGTGCACAATCGTTGAATTATTGAGGAAAAAAAACGATCAAAGCTCAGTTTTTAGTTGTTGTTAATATCTCTGCAGTTCTTTAGTTCATTCGAATTGAGACAACATCCACAAAATTTTGAATTCACTATCATAACCATTTTTTTTGGGTCGTTGCCGTTAATGATTCAAGTTTCTTGTAAATCGCAAACAATAGTCCCTGTCAACGTTTATCAATCCATACAGTCGCAGAGGAAACCTTTGAATGCGACCACACATATTGAATTAGTACTCTAGAATACAAACGCAACGGTCAATCAGTATTTAATCATGCATTATCTCCAAAAGCCGCCTCTATCACGGTAAAAGGCAACTGAGCTTGAAATCGGCAAAACAACTTTTAAAGTCACAAGTTTTTGTTAGGACATTGGTTCTTAACTGGAGATGATCAAATCTTCTACCCTATTTCGAGGGATGTTGTAACGCTGACTTGAAAAGTTTAAAATCGTGAGACTATGAGCGTCTTAATTCATCTTCAAATCAGAGGTCACTTTCTTTGACGGAGCTTGAATGAATGAGTTTAGGTGCATGACAAAGTACAGAAATCAGTATGCAAGTAAACGAATATGATCCAAGAATGGTAAATTAGCAAATGGAATTGCTGGTTGCGTATGGTTTTCTTTGTTTAGATTTTGAATCCGAACTAAAGATGGTATATTATCGAATATATTGTTGAGTATAGAAAGAATAATGAGTGTTATATTAAATGAAGATTCTTTTGGAAGGTCATATAGAGTGTCGCTTTTGGCTCTAGTGAACATCTGTTCTTAGCTGTGAGCCCATTCAAAGTTTACGGCAACTCACTTTTGGTGGAACTCGTTTTGCCTTTTGTGTACACTACTCAATCACGATAAACCATCTGCTCATTCGAATAATAATCATTAAAGCATTTAACATAAAGTATTAAAGATTTTGAATTCCTTTGGGAAAATTCACTGTATTTCGAAGAGTTTCGGAACTGTATTAACATGTATTTAACGAATATGATCATATTCTTAGGTAATCTTCATTTTGTTTTTATTTGATGAGATATTCTTTCAAATGGACTGTTGCTAAGCTATCGAACGAATTGAATCATTTCTTTGCAACTGAATCAAGGCTCCTGTCTGTGGAATCAACATAATGTTTTCATTAAAATTAACGATCTAATTCTTGCTGTTGCTGATCAACCATATCAATTCATCAGCTATGGAATTATCCGTGATATATGAACTATCGATCCGCTGCAATCAGAAGTTGGCAATAGAAAATGAATGCATATTGATTGTGCTCTGGTGATGTTTGAATCTAAAAAAAACTGTGAATTTTCTTGATGCTGAAATAAACTTTGAAATACCTGTTGACTGAATGGATGACATTTATCACAAGATTGGCTATAAGCAACAGCAATACAGTGTGAGCAGATGCGACCCATTTTGTTAGTTGTTGTGCAAACCGTATGGCATCAACATCAATGAAGCGATTACAGCAAGTCATTATAAGATTCATTTACTTGACTTACGAATGACAAACAACTGCAAATGTGGAAAAATTAATATTTGTAACAAATTTTAATACTCCTAAATTCCATGCACATCAACTGTTCCGCATATTCCATAGTTCAGTGAAAACAACAGTCCACTATTAATAGTATGTATGTATGTGATTCTTCAATTTCAGAATCATGAAGGTTGAACCTTTTGAAATATCTTACCAACTTGTCTAGCAAATACCTTGAAATATCAATTTTAACACCTCCCTACATAAGGATTAAAATATTCATTTCTCTCACCGAAATTCCATCGTAATTACTCCAAAATGTAATTCAGTATGCCATGATCTTTTGAATTTGATACATATTTTTTATGCCTTCCGGTTTCTCAACATCCATAGTACAGGACGAAGTAAGTATGTTCGTCATAAGTATAACTTCAAATATAACTTCGTCATTTTTGCACATCAATTTTGCTCAACCAATTCATGCAGCCTAATCGTGAGTAAAAGACAGTTTATGGTTCCTTTGATGTGTTCATTATGAAACGATTCTAATTTGTACCATGAATGTAGTTGAAAGAGAGAAATGATTGATGATTACGGTGAAATGCTGATTTTGTGGAGAAAGCAGTAATAGCGCAACACGAGTGGTGTCTAATCGTTATTTGTTGGTTTGAATTAGGTGGAAGTGAGCGACGAGTTTGAGCGCTGAATGAGCATCTCATGAATTTTTAATGAACAATCACAAAGAGCATTCGAAATGTTAGGAGTTTTGTGATGAAAGTGACACTCCATTCATTAGCTGTTTAACGCACCAGTGCATATTTAATATTTCAACATTATTAGCGTTTTGCATAAGTTCAATTGTTTAACAACAACAACAATAATAATAACAAACTCAACACAACCAACCCCTCACATTGAATATTGCAAAACAAACACTCATAAATTTATTCAGTTTAAACATTTTCAAAATTTCTCATTCTTATCGAATGCTCAGTGAACCAATATTAAAAATATAAAGCTGTTTTGAATGCAAGTATCATTGAACAGATGAAATATCACTTTCGCCTCAATCAGAGCCATTGCCAATTTATTGTTTTAATAGGCTTAACTCAATGCAATATTCAGAAGCAATTGAGGATTTTGAAAAAAGTTCATCAACAGTCAGGTGTTGTGCTCTATGCGACGGTGCGTTTCGTGTCAAGTTTCAATATCAAATTCAAAAAATGAATCTATTACTTTGGAATGTTTCGTAACTTTTCAACTTTTTTTTTCAATTTTTTTTGCAGACCGTTCGTGGATAAGAGTCAGACATCATGATGCACTTCATTGGAACAGCAATTTCAGTTAGGCATTACTGAGTTATATCGTAAAGTGACATGATCATTATATATTCAGTTGAAAGGGATCATAAACAAAACCATGACATAATAGATCAGTTGAGTAAAAAGAGCTAAATTCATGAGAATTGGGGCTGAACTTATCAGGAGAAATGTTACATGAATCGTTGCTGAGTTAGAGAAAGAAAATTTCGGAATTTTAGGAATGCATTGTGACCGATCAAATGACTTAACACTGATAAGCGTGAGCAACTTACGTGCAATACTCCGTTGCCATTTTTTTAAAC